TAAGGACTCTAGACTGCTCATACTTGATTTTATGCGTCATTAGTCCGGTCGTTAATTCACTGTACTCTAATTTGCGGTATCCTCACGTTATACATTAACAGGGCACACAGGCTACAAGTTATAACAGTTGAGTGGTGCGCTGCTAGATTACTCAAAATTATCAACATAAGTGCGTCGAAATTAACATCCACGAGATTTCGTCAGCAATAAAGAAAACAAATGAGCAAAATCTCAGTTGCTTAAAGTTCACTATTGGCATACGTATACGTATATATTAATTATTATTATTAATTATTATGTAAACAATTGAACATTAAGATGTTCACACAATGTGCCTACCTTATCATACATTCTATAAAAAGTAAGTAGTTACATTAATTAATTGGCAATTCAATATAAAATCTAATTAATTTATAAATAAGTCTTATCTATAAATTAATTGAAATCTCAACTAAAAATAGTATCTTCATCATTGGTTTATGAATCATCATGGACGGATGACCTTGAATCTCATTTAACCAATGAGATTTTATTTAAAGAAACTTGTCTAAAGTAATAATAATAATGATAATTGAATAGAGTTTAAAATTGCAAAATAATAAGGTCGTGGATGCACACTGCTGAGAAGTCCCACAATAGGACGAAACGACCGTTCATTGCTTCCAGGTTTTCCATGGTGGTCTAGCTTCAACTGAATCATGATCTTAACCATTGAAATTAAAATTATAATAAGTTGATTGAATAGTTTATTAATATCAAAAAGGTTTTTTGTAGATATTAAAGTAATTTCAATAGTTGAGATCATAAGTCAATTGAAACTAGACCATCAGGGAAAACGTGGAAGCATTGGACGGTTGTTTCGTTCTATTGTGGGACTCCTAAGTAGTTCGTATCCACGATCCCTCCGCCTCCCAAGATTCGAACACAGGACAATAGGACGAAACGGTCGTCAAGTGCTTTTAGGTTTTCCATGGTGATCTAGCTTCAACTGACTCATGATCTTAACCATTGATAATTTTGATTGAGACATTAAAACACAAAATTCAATATTGTTCACTTTTCAACAAGTTTATCGTCAAGTTATGCAATCATTTATATGTATATTCCTTGAGGTAACATGACGTGATACAAAGATTTTAACATTAAGCTTTTGATAAGCTAATACCTTAATCTAATATAAGCTTATTGACTTCACACCCCCTCATTTATTAGGGTACATCATGTAAAAGTTACATATTCATTTCCATAACAGAAATGTGGGTCTGATTACAGTTGAACTTCTTTTAATATTTTTTTGTCCTAAAGTTTCATCTCTAAACATAAAATGGACGTCTTTAGTTCGGACATTTTTCCGGATCGCTTATAACTGACGAAAAGTGTGACATGTTGATATACCAAATTAAAAAAAAGAACACCACTACCAGAAGTGAAAGCTATTGAAAACTGATTAGGAAAGTACGGAAACTGATTTAGAACAAGTGCACCATTGATCAGAGTAAACTAATTTGGTCAGATAGCCTACACTGTCAAGTATACCAATCAGAATAATAGAAGTCCAGAGGAATGATTATAATTACTTTAATCATTTCAATTCAGAATCCCTGTGATTTAACACATAGAACACCGAGCCAGAAATTACTACAGTTTATAAATATCAAACGATACATAGCCGAGATATTGCCTCCAAACGCCTTGGTACGGTTGAAAGTTGGGAGAGTCAACTCTCCCTCTCAAAATGCTCTCACACGGACACGGGCATAAAACCACTACCACACAAGTCCTACTCACTGCTTTCTCATGGCATTACTGTTGTTTACGAAATTGAGAGGACGAAAATTGAATGTCCGATGCTTAAACCAGTTTGGTGGATACGGACGGTCCACCTAGGGGAGTTGGAAAACCATGATTTCAAACCAATGGTACACATGGGTACCAGTACCTTGAGGGAACACATGGCGTATGAACTAATCGTTGGTCACCGGCTATCATGAGACTGCATTTCCTGACGTTGCTACACTGTCTTGTAGATTAGACCTGCAGGTCGAAGGCTCAGGGTGTGGCCCCGTAAGGAAACCACGTGGTTCGGCTTGGGCACCCGGGTAGTATCACAGCCCTCACACAAATCGAATGATTTATATGGCGCATATCTATTTTGTGCCTTCTTGTACCAATTTTTATGTGTTTAAATAAATAAATAAATAAATAGAAAGACATGATCTGAATTTCTATCAGACCACTTTCGACTATATTTTATCATCTTAGTCACATACTGGAGGCGGAGTCATTGATACGAGTTCATGATAGTAAATAAAAAGCGACTCATATTTTCCGAAAAATTTTTATTGACTTGGCTCTTGTTCCATAAAAATAAACAATCTTATTAGTCATACGATAACAGTAGCCAATTCTGTCTCAACATGGTGGCGGTTATAATAATAAACAGCCTACACAAACTGGAAGTTGTTACTGAATTAGAGAAATCAATTGATACCAACGATATAAAATGCAAGGAGTATTTTAAACATGAATCACAAGTAATGAATCCACTTTAAGTTCCCAATACCTTATGATCATGATAATCCTATTTCATTTGAACGACTTCACTGTATGTGTTAAGATGCTGCATAAACTTCACACAATCAGTTGATTCTCTATCAGACACTGAAGAAAAGGATCGCCAAATTCAACTATTGAGCGACTGACAGTTAATGTCACCTTTTGTACTTCACATCTAGAAATCGTTTCCCCAAATTTTGATAATTAAGCACCATAATTTAATCATGATTTGGTCAAATTGTAAACCATTTTCGCCACAGACTGACAATGGCTGAAGAGAGTTGAACAAATGAATTATTGCAGTTTGAGAATTCCCATCACTGGGTAGATGCCACTGCATACAAGATTGAATTCAGTATATTTTGATTTGAAGGTTAACAACAAAATGAGTTGAGGTCCAATGATCTGTGTTTCCCAAACTACAAGAAGTCAACTATTCAGGTCTATCTAATTTTCGATAAGTTTCTAGTTGATATTAGTACATGATAAAAATTACTGGCAAGTGTAAAAGAAATATGATTGTTTATTTAGTCAAGTGAATCTATCAATGATAGAATTCCTTGTAGAGTAAATGAAGCTCAAACCCAATATACTGCTGACAAGCTTTTCTTCAAATACAAAAGCTTTTGCCTATTTAAAAAGTTATCCTAACAGTTCCTATTCAAATGAACAGTTAACATCCAACTGTACAAAACATAACTTCATGTCTTTAAATTAATCTCATTCTTTTACAGTTCGTAGGTGTTAATTCTCGTAAGTCACGTACTGGTAAAAAGTCGATCGCCAAAAATGAAATGAGTCTCTCATGTACATTTGGTAGAAGTGAGACAATTGGAAAGAGTTCTACAGTATGCTTTCCAGTTGCCTTACGAAGTAACCTAAATTCAACCCTCAACATAACTTGTTTTCGTCATAACCCGATGAGTCTTCTTTATTAGTTGGGGATTTTTCTGCCCATCATATTGCACTACTAAATACTAGCCACAATACAGTTAAAATAACTCGAATTTTAACTGCGGGAAAGAAGACCTTCATTTTTAATTTTCATGAACAAATTGCTTCCCGAAAAACAGTTTAGCCATGTTACGTCGGTTGAATTTCTGTAAACATACGACAGCTTCCTTCATATGAGAGGAATCTAGTAGGTTTCAGCAGTCTGATATTGCTCCATTTAAGATTAGCTTTTATCTGTGGACATTCATCTAACCATTCTCTTCAGTTACATGCTCCTTAGTCAACAGACAAAACGGTATGTGCTATCAAAAAAAAAGTATAACATGATACCTTGTTAGATACCGTATTATTTACGTCTTATTCTCTTCTGTGCCCCAATTCGTTATTTATTTGAACACATAAATACTGGTACAAGGGGACACCAGATACATATGCTCCACACAAATCTCATTTGATTTGTGTGAGGGCTGTGATACTACCCGGGTGCCCAAGCCGAACCACGTGGTTTCCTTACGGGGCCACACCCTGAGCCTTCGACCTGCAGGTCTAATCTATAAGACAGTGCAGCAACGTCAGGAGATGCAGTCTCATGATAGCCGGTGATCAACGATTGGTTCATACGCCATGTGTTCCCCCAAGGTACTGGTACCCATGTGTACCATTGGTTTGAAATCATGGTTTTCCAACTCCCCTAGGTGGACTGTCCGTATCCACCAAACCGGTTTAAGCATCGGACATTCAATTTTCGTCCTCTCAATTTCGTAAACAACAGTAACGCCATGAGAAAGCAGTGAGTAGGACTTGTGTGGTAGTGGTTTTATGCCCGTGTCCGTGTGAGAGCATTTGGAGAGGGAGAGTTGACTCTCCCAACTTTCGACCGTACCAGGGCATTTGTGGGCACCAATTCGTAAAACATAAAGAAAGCATTTTAAGGATAATATGTAAAGAAGGATCGGTATCAATTACGAAAATAAAGTGTTGAACTAGGAGGAACATTAGTGCCTAGTGGTTAATCGAATTAAAGTTTTATAAGAATAGTGATTTCATATGTGTTAAATGTGAACTATTATAAATAATCAAAACTGAATATAACAAAAAGATAATATTTATTTAGGGGTACTCTTTAAATACTGTTTAGAATTTTTTTAAAAGACACCAGTAAAAAAAGTGCATTGTAAATAATGGATGTATATTATTCTGAATGTACTTATATTATTCTGGTGGGTTTTTTTTTCAGGGTATCCAATACAAACAACAAAATGCCAATACGAATGAAATAAAGCAACTTTAGATTACAAGGTACAGTGTAAAAAAAAAAGATGAACAAAGCATATAATCAGAGTAAGTTTAATATATATTCACAAACGGTGCAAAATCACAAATTACATAGGCTAACATAACACTTTTTGAAAAAAGTAGGTAAGGAAGTTACAAAATCCAGAGTCAGTAGTTATAGAAAAATGTAAGTCTAATCCTTCTGAACTTAAAGTTTATATAACAACTGAAAATGCTGCTGTAAGAAACTGTTCAAATGAAAACTGAGCTTGACCAATCATTCTATAGTCATATCGCCTGAATGCTCCCGTGAGAATCTGAAATAAAAACAAGTTTCAAGCACAGTACTAATTAGTATTAGAAGGGTTTTTCGTGGATATTATAGTAATTTTAATAGTTGAGATCATGAGTCAATTGAAGCCAGACCATCATAGAAAACCTGGAAGCACTGGACGGCCGTTTCTTCCTATCGTGGGACTCCTCAGTACCAATTATTCAGGTGAATAAGCTAACGAATTCCTGATACATCGATAAGTTTCTTGTTAAACAACTGGAAATTAGGTACTTTGCAGTTCCCCTGATACGTTTTAGGTCACTTAAGTAGTATTTACTTATCTGGGTCGACTTATCTACAAAACACTAAATCGAATATATATTTATCCGTCCAGTTTCAATTAATGGACACAGATGAATGAACCAAGAAAGTGGTAGAATTTTCTCCTGTAATTTTTATGTCAACTTTTATGTTTACCTAAATACATTCGGTTCCTGTTTCTCTTGTAAAAAACTTCGTTTCTAGCTTATTCTTGTTCGTATTTGCATCAAGTCAAGTGAAAGGTAACAGTTGAACACGATTAAAAAAGGGGAAGAATAAAACAACTGGTAAAATATCCTCTTTAGTGGAGTGATATCTAACTAATTAGGTTACCCAGAGTCATGTTTAATTAGTTACTGATATAGCGGGTGGTTCAAAATATTCTCCTCTCTCTGTGATATACTAAAATAATACGTTAACACAAAAATGAGACTAATCTTCTCAGTGATCGAGTTTACAGTACCGCTAGATCGGATACTTGAACGGTACACAACACAGAGACTCGATCACGTTATGTCAGATACAGCATTTACGACACAGAATAGAGAAAAAAATTAACACTAGATAACACTTTATTCAACGCAGCTACAAGCAGTCAAACTCAGCGAACTCGAAGCAGAAATCGATGAGAGGAAAGGAAATTACATATTTAATAGTCAGTAGGCTAAGTGCTTGTTTGCCCATGCTCCATGATCAATCACATTTTACTTTCACTAACATACATCAGCTACTTTTGAATAGATGGGTTATTAAACTGTCTTACTCACTGCGTAAAAGACTAGGGTGCTAGATTTAAAAGTACATTCATTTTTAAGTGATAGATTATTGCTGGAAATATTTGATATATGGTTGATTTATTTCGCTTTTTAGATATTGGATTTAATTTTCTTAAGATAAGTTGTATAACTTGTATTTCCGAGAAAATTCTGGAGGTTACTTTTAGAAGTACATTTACGGAGATCGTCGATACTTTCTTCTAAAGATGTTTCGATTTCATGAGCCCCCAAATGCCCTGGTATGGCGGAGAGTGAGGTGAGCCCGCCCCCACCTCTCGAAATGCTTTCACATGGCCACGCGTATACAGCCTCTGCCAGGAAAGTCCTACTCACTGCCTTCCCTCACCGGGGTGTTGTTTACGAAAAGGAGAGGACGAAAAGCGAATGTCTGGCGCTTTAACCGGATCCCAAACCAATGGTGCACGTGGGATCCAGTATCCTGCAGGAACAAATGGCGTATGAACCAATTTTCGGTCACCGGCTACCACGGGACTGCATCTCCTCACGATGCTCTACTGCCTTGTGGGTTAGACCTTTAGGTCAAAGGCTCGGGGTGTGGCCCCCTAAGATAACCACCTGCTTCGGTCTAGGCACCCGGGCAGTATCACAGCCCTCACACAAATATGATGAACTGTCGACAATTATGGAAAATACTTTTCTTGATTCGATTATTAATCAAACGATTAACATTTATTATTATTATTATTATTATTATTATTATTATTATTATTATTATTATTATTATTATTCAATACGTCATTTATTCACTCTCTTTTATTCCCACTCTGTCTATCTTTACTTTTCGACTTATACAGCAGCTCGCCTATGGTGGAAATTAGGTTCTATCTAAACGTTCTCGAGTCACCGCCTGGTTGAAAATTGTATGCTACCATCGAATACGAATACTGCAGCAGTTTTTCTGAAACCACGTGCACCATTCAAACTGGCTGCCTTCAACGTTCACACACTTATGCAGGTTGGACAACAGATAGGGCTGGCTATGTCTTTGGAAAGTCTTAATATCGATGTCTGCTGTCTATCCGAGACCCGTATTTAAGACTCTGGTGAACTACTACAAATTCCCTCTACATCTGTCACTTCAAAAAGCTTGTTTTACGTGCGCTTATCCGGAGACCCTGTGGCATCTTCGTCTGGTCTTGCTGGCGTTGGTGTCGCACTAAGCGCTAGAGCTGAGGCAGCACTACTTGATTGGATCCCCATTAACAGTCCGTTATGTGCTGCTACATTAGGGAGTTCCATCAAAGTAAGAAGAAATCGGCGTGAGAAACGATGTCTTTTCGTCATCTCCGCCTATGACACGACAGATTGAAGCCCGGATGCAATCAAGGATGAATTCTACCACCAGTTAACTGTTTTTCTCCAGAAAGTGCGTTCGACAGATATTGTAGTACTAGCCGGAGACTTGAATTCTCAGGTCGGGCGTCTAGGCACAGAAGAGTCGTTTAGGTGGCCGATGGGGACTTGTTGGTCGCAGGACAGATAACAGGGAATGTCTACTGCAACTGTGTACAGACCACAACCTGTTTCTGGCTAGCACTAACTTCCGGCACAGTAATCGCCGATGTGCCACCTGGCGTTCTCCCTCTGCATCTCAAGCCTGGACTCAGATTGATCACATCGCGATCAGCTACCGCTGGCGTGGTTGTGTACAAGACTGCCGCTCCCTCTGGAGTACCTATCTGAACTCTGACCATGCCTTGGTCTGCGCCAATCTTACCTTACTTTTCAGTAGACAACGAAAAGACCGCCACCAAAGGATTGATATCAGCAAATTGGTTGCAACTTCTGTTACAACTAAGTATCCAACCTAGCTAGCTACCATTCCACCGAAAAGTATAGATGAGCATTGGTTGCAAGTTCATGACGCCATGAAAATGGCGAGTAAAGCCGCTTGCGGCTTCGCAAAACGCTCCGCTTCTAAGCACTGAGTTTCTTCAGGCTCCTTACAACTCATTGAAGCCCGTCGGTCTACCCCGGGTGACCGTGAGTTTGACCATAAACGAATGATGTTACGTAAGGAAATTGGGCAAAGCTTGCGTAAGGACCGAGAAGCCTGGTGGTCGAAGCGTGCTAATGAGCTGGAAGCAGCAGCTGCATATGGTAACTACCGGAAGCTCTTCCAACTCATCCGAGCCACTGGCAGCAAGAAGTCTGGTGTGAGCGAAACAATCTGCGAGGATGATGGGATGCCAATCACTAACATCCATCGACGTCTTGGACGATGAGCAGAATTCTTCGAAGGCAGTTTAACTGGCCTGCTGCTCCGGCAACATCGGTCAGACTGTCCTGCCCGCCATGGCCGGTGACGACTGATTCACCAAATGAGGCGGAAGTGTTGGGATATTCAGGAAAATATCCCAAAAATTATCCTGTCAAGCCTAATGCTATTCTTGGACATGAAATGGTATAATCTTATTGGTCAATATTTATTTAACGTGTTATTTTCCTGTTGGCCATTATTGTACAATGTTATCTTCTATTTTATGGTACGCTGTGGACTGCTTGACTGGTATATAAACAAAGTATGTTTGAAATATAATGATTCATATATCCGAGGCTGAAACTTGTGTTCTGGACTCAATTGGCTGGGCTATACAGGGAAGCGAGACCAATCAGAACCCTAGGTCGTTCTACGTGTTTGCGCGTCTTTGGTCCGATCAATAATTCGCTATCCCTTAATCAGCATATTTATTTTTCACGTTATAACAGGAAGTCCGCAAGGAACTCCAACTCTTGAAGCGTTACAAATCACCTGGCCCAGATGACTTACCTCCGGCTCTTTTTAAAGATGGTGGTGACATTCTGACTGAGGAACTGACGACGTTGTTTACAAAGGTTTGGGAACTAGAGAGTGTACCAACGTCATGGAATGAGTCGATAGTTATCCCTATCTTTAAAAAGGGGTTCACGTCGTTCCTGTAACAACTATCGGGGGATAAGTCTACTTCCGATTGCGTCCAAGCTATTGGCTTCCGTCATACTTCGTAGGTTGTTCAAAACTCAAGAAAGATTGACTCGCGAGGAGCAGGCTAGTTTTCGTTCCGGCCGAGGATGTATTGGTCATATCTTCACCCTCCACCAAATGTTAGAACACCGTCATACTTGTCAAAGGCCAACAATCGTAGTGTTTCTTGACACCATGGCTGCCTTCGATTTGTTGGGCAGTACTGTTCTCTGGGATTGTGTATTGAAGTAGGGTGTGCCTGAGAAGTTTATTAACATCCTAAAGGCCCTATATACAAACAACTCGGGTAGAGTGAAGGCATACAGCCACCTCTATCTATTGTTCCATTCGAGCAGTGGGGTTAGGCAGGGTTGCCCAATCTCACCATTCCTCTTCAACTTTGCCATCGACGACATTCTGGAAACAGCTCTGATGGATGTAAGTAATGGTGGTGTGGATCTGCTGCCTGGAGAAAGACTTCTCGACCTTGAGTATGCGGACGATATTGTCTTATTGTGCGATAATCCCCAAGACATGCGATCCGCACTTAACCAGTTGGCAATCAATATCCGTAAGTACGGTATGTGCTTTGCACCATCGAAGTGCAAAGTACTTTTACAAGACTGGCAGGATTCTAATCCTGTACTCACCCTGGATGGTGAGAAGATAGAAGTAGTCGAGAAGTCCGTGTATCTAGGTAGCTGCATAAGTGCTGGTGGTGGCGTGAGTGATGAGATCAATGCATGTATAGTGAAAGCTAGGGCGGCTTACGCTAATCTGGGCCATCTTTGGCGCCTTCGTGATGTCAGTCTGGCTGTAAAAGGTAGGATCTACAACGCGTCAGTGAGAGCAGTCTTGCTCTATGCTTGTGAAACCTGGCCTCTTCGAGTTGAGGATGTTAGACGACTCTCTGTGTTCGATCATCGCTGTCTCCGAAGGATTGCTGACATCCAGTGGCAACAACATGTTAGTAATGCAGAGGTTCGGCATCGTGTGTTCGGGTGCACAGACGATAATCCAATTGGTGTCACCATCTTGAAACACCGACTTCGGTGGCTTGGACATGTTCTCCGAATGTCGTCCCAGAGAATTCTACGTCGTGTATTATTTGCCGACTCTGGGACAGGTTGGAAAAAGCGGAGAGGTGGTTCAGAACAGGAGCCAGTGGCGATCCTGCTGTAACCTTCTTTTACTTTCTTCATAAAAAAATGGTTGCTTCTTCCTTAACTGAAAGATCTCTTCTGATTGTACGTTTCCGTTCCCCCCATTGTTATTATTATTACACTACCTTACACTAATATGTTCGTTGTTGTTTTTTTTTAACGCTCCTTACCTTTCTTTTTTTTCCTTCTCTCCAAATTCTCATTGTTTTGTGTGTTTTGGTGCCCTCTTGTACCAGTATTTATGTGTTCAAATAAATAAACAATAAATAAATACTTCCAGAAATACCAGTTTTCTCCTACATTAGCGAACTTGTAAATATTTGATAAAACAATAGTTGGCTTTCTTTAAATAAACAAACAATAATAATTAACACATCAATAACAAAAAGAGAATTCAGCGAAGAAAATTTTCTTTTCGACGAAATCATTTACTTAAGCTGTACATTCGTATATATAGTTAGATATGGAAAATGTATGTCTATAGAAGGATAGAATGGATTGTATCACACAAAAAATGGATTCGACAATAAATAACAAATGAGGTTAACGTAAGGAGAACAAAATTTAAGGGTCAGATAATAGTCCAATTGACAGATATGAAGAAAAACGTCAAAACAACAAAGGTCATAATAATAGAGTGAATGATAATCAAGAAAACTTGTAAAAGGTAATAATAATAAATGATTAGAGTTTAAAGTGCAAAATAGTAATAATAAAAGTGCATTGAAAAAAAAACCACCTAGAAACATACCCATAAAGGGAATTAGGGCCAGGGAAGGATAAGAGGTTGGACAAATCGTTTCTGCACGCAAAGTTCAGGCTTTAGTTTGTGGATTGCCAATGCCTCTGCGGTGCATAAAATATTGATTCGAACCCCCTTCGATCCAGTTCCTTTGACTCTGTAAACTATTTTAAACGAAGAGTCTTTTGGAGCGATATGTCCACAGTTGATTAAGTGCTCCTGTATGGAACTCGTGATTGTTTTTCGCTCCCCTTTCAAAAGCCAAGCCGGATAATGTTCCGAGATGCGTTTGGATAATGATCGCTTTGTGCGGCCTATGTAACATGCCCCACATGAGCAAGTAAATTTATAGATACACATTGAAGTGGCCCAAAGCGAAATTTTGTCCTTAACACACCCCAGAATGGTAGGTCGGCTTGAGAAGATGATTCGAAGCTTAGCTGCGTGGAATGTTTTATTAATTGATTTAGAAATCCGTTTATTTAGGATTTCAGCAGCTGTATCTCCCTTAAATTCCATATTCATAAATAGAGTTTTTTTCTCTACTGTCAATGCTTTAACATGGGGTCTAGGTACCAAGTTTCTATCGATGAATCTCGGTGGATAACCGTTTTTGATGAGGGTCTGTCGAAGATAAAATAGTTCCCCATCTATTGTGTCGTTGGAACAAATTCGCCTGATCCTTGAGGATAAAGAATGAATTAAGTTCCTTTTTCTAATTAATGGAACCCAACTGTGGAAGTTCGTGTATTGTCCATTCCAAGTGGGTTTTCTGTATATCGATCTCTGTAATAAACCGTCAGGCATTCTTTTTAAATGGATATCAAGAAAATGAAATTCGTGGTTTGTCTCTGCTTCTAAGGTGAATTGGATTGATGGGTGACAGCTATTGAAAATATTCAAAATTGAAAGATTTCATTTATATAAAAGATATATGGATGACACTTTCATTATTTGCGAAGAAGACGTTGACCTCAATGATATTTTGAATATTTTCAATAGCTGTCACCCATCAATCCAATTCACCTTAGAAGCAGAGACAAACCACGAATTTCATTTTCTTGATATCCATTTAAAAAGAATGCCTGACGGTTTATTACAGAGATCGATATACAGAAAACCCACTTGGAATGGACAATACACGAACTTCCACAGTTGGGTTCCATTAATTAGAAAAAGGAACTTAATTCATTCTTTATCCTCAAGGATCAGGCGAATTTGTTCCAACGACACAATAGATGGGGAACTATTTTATCTTCGACAGACCCTCATCAAAAACGGTTATCCACCGAGATTCATCGATAGAAACTTGGTACCTAGACCCCATGTTAAAGCATTGACAGTAGAGAAAAAAACTCTATTTATGAATATGGAATTTAAGGGAGATACAGCTGCTGAAATCCTAAATAAACGGATTTCTAAATCAATTAATAAAACATTCCACGCAGCTAAGCTTCGAATCATCTTCTCAAGCCGACCTACCATTCTGGGGTGTGTTAAGGACAAAATTTCGCTTTGGGCCACTTCAATGTGTATCTATAAATTTACTTGCTCATGTGGGGCATGTTACATAGGCCGCACAAAGCGATCATTATCCAAACGCATCTCGGAACATTATCCGGCTTGGCTTTTGAAAGGGGAGCGAAAAACAATCACGAGTTCCATACAGGAGCACTTAATCAACTGTGGACATATCGCTCCAAAAGACTCTTCGTTTAAAATAGTTTACAGAGTCAAAGGAACTGGATCGAAGGGGGTTCGAATCAATATTTTATGCACCGCAGAGGCATTGGCAATCCACAAACTAAAGCCTGAACTTTGCGTGCAGAAACGATTTGTCCAACCTCTTATCCTTCCCTGGCCCTAATTCCCTTTATGGGTATGTTTCTAGGTGGTTTTTTTTTCAATGCACTTTTATTATTACTATTTTGCACTTTAAACTCTAATCATTTATTATTATTACCTTTTACAAGTTTTCTTGATTATCATTCACTCTATTATTATGACCTTTGTTGTTTTGACGTTTTTCTTCATATCTGTCAATTGGACTATTATCTGACCCTTAAATTTTGTTCTCCTTACGTTAACCTCATTTGTTATTTATTGTCGAATCCATTTTTTGTGTGATACAATCCATTCTATCCTTCTATAGACATACATTTTCCATATCTAACTATATATACGAATGTACAGCTTAAGTAAATGATTTCGTCGAAAAGAAAATTTTCTTCGCTGAATTCTCTTTTTCTTATTCAATGACACTATGGGTTATTTTAATTAACATCAATAACACTCACTTGTAAACAGACACATGCATAAATGAAATCATCAAATGAAATAGATTCTCGACGATTATGACCAAATCGACGAACCATAAAATTTATAAATTGTGGCGATAGACTATAACCAAACCTCATCAAAGCAGTACTGAGTTCTTGACGGTCAATTGAACCGGAGTTATCTCGATCAAATTGTCGGAAACAATTTTGCCAATCATTTACATACTTAAAAAGTTTACCAAATTCATCGAAACTAATTGTTCCATTCATATCACAATCAAACATTGTAATCATTAACTGTACTGTTCTTATGTTGAACATCGTTCCCAAACCTTTATTGCAAACGAAAAGTTCCAAAAAACCAGTCATATTCTTTAGAAGAGCATAAATAACGGTTGACATTGAGAAATATTTGTATTGTGAAACTAAGCAATACTTTTTCTCAGACTTCTAACTAAATGTTTGAAACAGTGAGGCACTAAAGTAATCAGAGGAGTATTAATAATAAGATAATCTAAAAACAGTAAACATCCCGCATGTTGTATTTGTTTTGAGAAATGACAGATAATGTCTCCTTCAATTGACTACTACCATCCCTCTAACCCTAATTAAGATGTCGACATTTACTGAAGTATATTAAATGATCGTTCCGATCGAAGTAAGGTCTGAATTTGATCATTCTAGTATTTTCCACCGCCATCCTATTCTATTCAGTTTTATGAAGGTTTCTAACCTGTAACCCAGTGGTTGAAAGTACCACACGACATTAGTACGACAAGATTAAGCTAAGAGGATGAGGAAGAAACCAAACATAGCAGCATTAGAACTGGATATTAAAAATATGATTCGACAAGACTAGAGAGACTAGAATGAATTAAGGAATACTAGAATTAAGATTGAAGAAAAGATCAACAGTGCATGCTATAATAACAATCAATGTTTAGAGAATTTAAGGGACATGGCTCAATATCATTCGCAATGGAGTAGCTGCATGCACTGTTTATCTTTCCTGCAATCTTAATTTCAGTATTCCTTCATTCATTCTATGGCCCCCAAATGCCCTGATACGGCCGAAAGTGAGGAAAGTCAACTCTCCTTTTCCAAATACTCTCACATGACCACGTGCATAAAACCACTACCACACAAGCCCTACTCACTGTTTCTCCTGGCATTACTGCTCTTTCCGAAATTGAGAGGACGAAAAGCGAATGTCCGATGCTTAAACCGGTTTGATGGATACGGACGGTCCACCTAGGGGAGTTGGAAAACCCTGATTTCAAACCAATGGTACACATGGGTACCAGTACCTTGAGGGAACACATGGCGTATGAACTAATCGTTGGTCACCCGCTACCATGGGACTGCATTTCCTGACGTTGCTCCACTGTTTTGTGGTTCATACCCTTAGGTTGAAGGCCCAGGGTATGGCCTCATAGGGAAACCACATGCTTCGGCTTGGGTACCCGAGCAGTATTTCAGCCCTCACACAAATCGAATGGTTTATGTGGCGCATATCTATTTGGTGCCTTCTTGTACCAATGTTTGTATCTAAATAATAATAATAGATTAACTCTGGAATTAAATCTTGACCAAACATTTAGAATACATGATTACTGGCTACATATTTCACGAGAAATATAGCTGTATGAAGCTGTAGAGATTAATCATGATCTTAAGGAGCAAAAGTATTCTCATGAGCTGTGTGAATTATCAAACTATTCATTTTAGTAGGGAACCCCCAAGCTAAGTTGGATGACACCAGTAAATTAGTCAAAGCGTAATGCGGAAATTGCGTATGTGTGCATATGTTTAGGCCGCCACACTACATTAGCAGAGCGACATCTCATTAATATAGTGCCACTAGCGAAACGGGATAGGTCTGTGTCGTAGTTATTTAAATACACTAATTAGGTTTAGTTCTTGTATAGGCGGAACCTAGTGATGAAGTTCTCTGTATGAAGACTAATTTTTGTAGACAGCGAGAACCAGGTGAACCACTTTGAAATCTTAATCTTCAAGACTTATATCTCATGTCAGTGTACCGGCAAATGAATGCAAATAGATTCACCTTCAGGATCACCTTGGAATGTGACCAGAATACGCAATAAGTAGGTGAAATAAGTAAGCACAAAACAAGAAACAATAGCTGACCTATTTTTATCATTGAACTCAAGCTAAATGACCGATTTTGAAGTGCATATGCACTGTCTTATATATGACAGGAAAACTGAGATCGGATGTCAATAACAAAGATAGATAAACAAATCTGATTTAGACTAGATCTACGACGAATATATCCGTCATTATATATTTATAAATGTGTAATTGTACCGAAGCAACCGAAAAAGGGGAAATCAAGGGGATATTCTGTTGCGACGTCAGAAAGTTTATAAGAATAGCAATTAACTGTTGATTCCAAAGAAAACTACAACACAGAACTAACGTGATGTAAGTTTTACTCTAAAAACAACGCCACTTAAATAACAACAATTAAATTAACTCACCGTTCGATAGACAAGATTGCAATTCGTCAGCAGTTATATTTCCACTTCCATTTTTGTCAATTCTGAAGGTATTTCAACATATATCATACCACTGATTACCTTCTGAATATACTCCACAAGGCGTTCTGATCCATAACTCGCTTCTTGTCACAAGATAATCTGTTAACAAAGTTTCGTAGAAAGGTCTATAAACCGCACTCAGAATATTTCGTAATCGTGAAGGTCACCAATCTTCAGATTCAGATTTCAGATTTGTGTAGTGAAGACAGAATGTCTACGGCCTATGTTATTCTTTTTCTAGTATGCTTTTGCGAGCGTCTGGTCTTCTTTTGAATAAGTCAATTGAAGGTGAGGAAACCACTGCTTCGGGTAACAGGTTTCAAGAATTGTTGACTCGGTGTGAAAACCTGTATGCCACGGGTATTTTGTTCGTTTTTGGCTTTTCTACTCGCCTTCTACGTCCTCTGAGATGTTTTGATCTAGTGGGAAGAAAAAGAAAGGATATGGAAGGTCCGAAGTCATTTCTTAGTATTCTATACATCGAAATCAGATCACCTCTTAATCTGCGACAGGACAGAGTAAAGAGGTCTAGCTTCTCAAGCCACCCTTTGTATGGTAAACCCCAGAGTTTTAGAATTGCACACTAGTTGCCACCTGTACTTCCTCCAGGACATCTGAGTAACCTTTTAAAAAGGGGCTTGCAGCCTGAACGCAGTTTTCAAGGTTAGTTCTCACTAAGGTTTTGTACACTGTAGTTAACATGGTAGTATCTAACTTGGTGAATGTCCGTCCTAAAACCGATAGGGTTCTAAACCCCTTAGCTGCAACCTCCCGGTAGCGAACCGTGGTCTCAAGATCATGACTCACTGTTACCCCAAGGTCCTTGTGAGACCGAACCACGGGTACAGGTACTTCCCTCATACTGTACCCATTTACCTTTGTATCCTCAAATTGCATGTAGACATACTTGGGTGCGTTCGTAGACATTAGCTACTCTTCAAACCAGCTAATCAGAATATCTAAGTCTGCCTGAAATGCTCATGCGTCTATGTTTTCTTTTATTTCTCGCCAAATATTTTACATCATCAGAGTATAACAGTATCGGGGACTCAACTACACTTGAGAGTTCATTTATATAAAGTGTAAAAAATAGAGGACCTGGTAGCGAGCACTGTGACATTCCACTAAATACCGGTCTCTAGATGGAGCACTTCAAATTCACTCTTACTTTCTGTCTTCGATCTACTAGGAAATCCTTAATCCATTTTGGGAGATTTTACAGCTTAAAAGCAGTCTATTTATTGTCACCTTATCAAATGCCTTGCTGGAGTCTATGTAGACAACATCCACTGATTCTCCATTGTCTAGAGCCTCTATCCATTGCTCCCTTATTATAAGGAGGTTTGGTGTACAATAACAACTTTTTCTGAAACCAAGTTTTTCACCGTTTAACAAGATGTTGGTTTCCACGAATGTCATTGTGGTCATTTTGACCATTCTTCCCAGTATTCTAGCTATGACACTGGTGAAAATGACAGGTCTGTAATTTGATGGAAGTTGTCTTGGTTCTGTTCTATGTACCGGAGTGACATAAGCATCCTTCTAGTTCGTAGGTAACACACCTTGGCTAAGCGACCCACTGAATATTACAAACAGTAAGGCTGCAATATATTGTGCAGTTTGTCTCAGGATTTTGGGATGTTGTTCATCCTGTCCGGTTGACTTTTCCGTGTCTTAAGTGCCAGGAGCCTTAAGTACAGAGTCTTGATCAAAGTCCACGGTGAACAGACGGTCTGTTGACTTCGTATTTGGGTCTAGTTCTTCGTCATGAGGAGGCTCCTGAGTGAAAACTACCTCGAAATAGATTGCCACAGCCTCTGCTTTTTCCTGATCATCCTCTATCATTTCAGATCCCCTCCCTCCCCGTTATCAGGCTGGAAATCCACTTCTGCGTCCTTGTTCTGTAATTTATGTGCGAGAGGTCTCTTAGGATTCTTGATTAAAGACTGGGCTAACTACATTTCTCCACCATCTCAATATTTGCTTTGGGCTTCCTGTATTGTAATAATACACTTATTTCTATCCGACCTGAAGCGTTCCATTGTACTTGTTGTGTCAAGTCTGATTGCGATGTTTCAGAAGTTTTTCTTGTCTTAGTAAACGTCGAATATCCTAGTCCATACACGGATATCAATGTCTTTCTTTCTTTGGGACTGTCTAGGGTATATTTGATTGTATAACTGTTGGAACTAAGTTCACGCCTCTTCAATTGATGCTAAGGAGTCAATGTTCCAGTTCTCAATCGAGGTTGCAGAGTCTATCGCCTTTATGACTGCCTTCCATATGTTAAGACGGGCAGGTACAAATACTTGACAGGCCATCTCACCCATGAGCTTCAATTAGATTACTGTATGACCACTTCTTCCTATAGGTGAAGGAACGTTATTTGACGGACATCATCACCATATATGAAGACGTAATGTAAGGTAGACGAGTCTTTTTGTATGTCATATCTGTGGGATCTCTAATGTGCTGGAGTAAGGCTAGGGCGACTATAGTTTCTAACGGTTGGTGATCAAACGATGTCTTAGATTATCTTTTACCTAAGTTTTTCGGATTTATAGAGTATGCATTAAAGTCACTCACCATATGTATTTTACAACTGTTTGACTAGAGTCTAGGTTTATTTCGGAGGAAGTCGTTCACTACACACTCTGAACTTCAATACACTACAACTAATTCAATTTATTGGCCATTATATTCTTGTTCTAAGTGAATGGGCTTATTTTGGTGGAAAAATAAGCTATTAGCTTAACTGGTAACATGTAAGAAGATAGAATCAAAAAGATAATGGTGGAAATGGAGGTAATAATAAGAGAGATACGGAGTAATTAGTAACACACGGTAATGGTAACCGGTAATTTACGAGACATGCATCAGATATAGCTGGTCCAAGAGGAAGATGGCAACCCGTGAGTGATTATGTAGTGGCACTGGGCCCTAATCAAATAATCCTCAGAGCTGAACACGAGGAAACTGGGAAAGTAAATATTTAATACATAACGCGGAGAAAATCCCAACGAGGGAGGAAGCGGGAAGAGGTAAATCAGTTAATTCGAAATGATCGAATGCCATGGCTCGGCCTTGCAGGTGTGGCTACACTTGAATGTTCATATAAAATATATTGTTCTATCTCCAGCCTGAATGTGTTTTCAACCATATATTGATGGTTGTTACGACACGATGAGTTGGTGTAGATAATAATGTGACTTCCACGTAAGATCTTATAGAGTAGGCAGTTACATCAGCTCAGAACCAATTAGACGATTTGGACTTCGCAGATGACCTAACCATCCTATCACGTACACACGAACAGATGCAGATAAAGACAGTCAGTGTAGCAGCAGTCTCTGCATCAGTAGGCCTCAGCATACACAAAGGGAAAACTAAGGTCCTCAAATTCAAAGCGGAGAACAGAAATCCAATCACACTTGATGGCGAAACTCTGAAAGATGTAGAGTCCTTCACATACCTGGAAAGCATCATCGATGAACAAGGAGGATCCGATGCAGACGTAAAGGCGAGGATCGGCAAAGCAAGGGTCGCATTCCTACAATTGAAGAACATATGGAACTCAAAACAACTTTCGACCAATATCAAAGTGAGAATCATCAATACGAACGTCAAGGCAGTTCTACTGTATGGAGCTGAAACTTGGAGAACTACAACAACCACAATCAAGAAAGTACAAGTATTTATAAATAGCTGTCTACGCATGATACTCAACATACATTGGCCGGATACCATCAGCAATAGCCTTCTGTGGGAGAGAACAAACCAACTTCCAGTTGAAGAAATTAGGAAAAGACGATGGAAATGGATAGGACATACATTACGCAAATCGTCGAACTGCATCACGAGGCAAGCCCTAACTTGGAATCCTGAAGGGAAGCGAAAAAGAGGAAGGCCAAAGAACACTTTGCGTCGGATAATAGAAGCAGATATGAAAGCGATGAATTACAACTGGACGGAGCTAGAAAGGATTGCCCAGGACAGGGTTGGATGGAGAATGCTGGTGAGCGACCTATGCTCCTTCACGAGGAGTAACAGGCGTAAGTAAGTTAGTAAGTTACATCATAACAAATCTACAATTTGATGATTAAGTCTATTGTTACAGCCGTACTAATATCATAGTAGGCCATAATTCTACAAGTACTTTTTTGTCAAGTCTCCTCTTAAAGCTATCCACTGAGAGAGCTGTGCTCACTCCGGTTGGGAGCATACCAAATGGGAGAAACTCTTAATGAAAAACGTAATAGCTTGTCTGGATGTCTGTTCTTTGATCTTTACTCTTTTGAGGGTTGCCTTGAGAAGTGTGTAGATCATTTTCTGGCAACATGGTCATGTTAGGGTGGCTCGGTGTACTTAATATATTGTAGGTTCTTGTTTTAGGATTATCATCCACTTGGTTGTCTGTTCCTGTACTTAGTCCAAGAGACATATCATTTTGTACTTTAAGCCAGCGTCCTAGTTCCCCGTCGTTACAAGCACGAGAACACGTCCAAAAGAGTCAACTGAGAGAGTTGTGCGGAGGATGTAAGTGCTTTGTGTCGAGTGAGGAAGAGTGTTCATGGCATAATATTTCAACAGACTGAGTTTTAGCCCATTCCCTACTGCTCAGTCCTCTATTGCAGGGTCCCTTTTAATCTGAAGTGAATCCTTTTCGCCCTTTATGGATCTCTAGATCTTTACATCATCTGCGTAGATTAGTCCTGCTAAGGTAATCTTATCCTTCAGGTCGTTAATATACATCAAGAACAAGAGAGGACCTAGAATTGTTCTTGTGAAATTCCCAGCGGTAGGACCTTTCAACTCGCCTTGGTACGGAAAATCTTGCTCTCTAGGTTGTTTTGAAGCAACGCAGAAGGTCAGCGGAACTCATCCTAGTAACCTTTGCTATGAGAAGTACATGAGGTAGTGTGTCAAATAATTTTGTGGACTCCGAGAATATCACGTGAACAGTTGGCTGCCAAGTTCTCCAGTGCTATGAGCTGACTAAACTTACAGGACCTATCTTTCTTAACCTGTGTTGAGCTTCACGGAGAATGTTGTTTCTATTCATGTGTTCCTTCAT